TGACATTTAGTTTGACACGCATTCCTCTCAATAACTTTGGTGTTTCACAGCTATTTGAGATCAATTGCCGCTCAAATCGAAGAGGTACCAGAACCCAAATAGGACAAAATAGGAAAAACCAAAAACCACATCGGTTACCAAAACCGAAAAACTGATAGTATGCTAAAAAACGAAAAATCCACAAACCGCAATGAACACCAAAACCCAAAACCTGAAGTCAAAGGGCACAAAAACCAAAAAACCAATCTAAAAAATAGCCCAAACTGCAAAACTGAAAATCCCAATGCCCCCCTCCTTAAATATTACTTGCCAACTTGGTAGCCAGTATCGAAATCAAAGGGCAAATGCGAACAAAGTTTGCCTGGATTCCAATGCACGCTGTCAAGCTACCTAATGGTTAACTAATCTTCAAGTCTTAAGTTTGGAAATAGCTTCCAACAAGATATTATCACTAATCAAGCTGACATTTTATTCAGGCTCACAAGACTACTGAGGCTAATGTCACTTGCCCACCGGGCCAATGAACTTCTATTTTAACCTGCCCCAGAGCAAAATTTACTTGTCCTGGGCAATTGGACCTGGGTTTTTTTCCTGTCCTGTAGGTCAATAAATTAGGACTGCTCATGCTAACAAAAGTATAGCATCTTAGTATGCAGGTTCTCTTTCTCTTACACTTGCCCCATCTCTTTTACATCTTGTTGTTTAGTTTCTCACTTTGTCTCTACCTATCTATCAACTGACCATCATGTGACAAGAGCCTCTAGCTAGCAAGGAGTTGAGGTTACCGTTGGGCAAAATTGGCACTGTATCATGATTGTACTTCTCAGCATAATAGCAAAGACAAATAGCACATTAAATATGGACTGTGCTATTAATTTTGCACTACTGAAAACAGTGCTTCAAGGTTAGGGTGTGTTTTCAATATAATTGTATTTTTTTTTTCTCCTGAGGAGGCTTGAAACTTGATCAACAGGAATAACTGGCCCACTGGGTGTAATGTACAACTTTGCACTAAATAAACAGTTTATACAGAGCAACAGTTAATAAATTGTCAACATCAACTCCACCTTGGTAAAATCAATATACTTATTATCATACTGTAAATTGCCTGTGGAGTTCCATTGGAATTTGTAAACACTTTAAATGATTTTGTGGTTTCAACAAAAACCATTATCAGAAATCTACAAATTTTTTCCC